CAAAGAAACGGCAAGTTAGACAGGACGAGGAGTCAAAGAGGATTCTGGGAAATGTAGTAGAGACGTGGTGATCCAGGCAGGAAGTGACGCAGTAAGGAGACTCATATTTAAAGAAGGAGAAAAAGGAAGCATCCCTCTTTTCCCCTCTGCTCCTGCTCCAGCAGCACAATGACATCCACTGGCAAGGAGGGACTCCAATAAGGCGTCCAATAAGATAAGTCTTATAAAATATATAGATTTATGATAATTAAGACTGAGCTAACAGATAAGGAATCCTAGTCATTGGCCGAACAGCTTTGAACCTAATACAAGTTTCTGTGTATTCATTTGTACCTAACTCGGGCGGGCGGCTGGCGTAAAGCTCACAGGTGGTGGTGGGGCTCAGGCGGCTTTTGGCGGAAAGATTTATTGAAACACTGCAGCTTTTGCTTCTCTCCTTTCCCTAGAAAGCATATTCTTTGGAACTACTTGTACTTTGTTGTTGTTGTTTTTTCACTATAGATCTGCATAAAGCACTTAGCCATACCCCTGCAATTCAGTTGTAGAGAGGGAGGAGTGATGAGCAAAGGACTCAAGACCATGCTGAGGAAACCGACAGACACAGCTGACCTGAGCAAGTGGGAGCTCACACACCCCAGTCTGACAGTTTGAGGAACCAGCATAGGACTGAACCAAGCTCCTGAATGTGGGTTTCAGTTGGGAGGCCTGCTCAGTATATGGGGCCTCTGGCAGTGGAACCAGTATTTATCCCTAGTGCACAAATGGACTTTGGGAGCCCTTCTCTGTGGAGGGATGCTCTATCAGCCCAGATACACACTGAGGGCCTAGGCCCTTCCCCAAATGATGTGTCAGACTTAGATAATTTAGATAACTTAGATAATTAGAAATGTCACACTCCCTGGGGAATGGATAGAGGGGAGATGGTGGGTTTCTGGGGGGCATGAGTGGATGAGAAAGGGAACTGGGATTGGTATGTAAAATAAGATTGTTTTTAATTTAAATAAAAATTTATTTAAAAAGCATTTAGCAATATTGATGACACAGCCCAAATGTTATGTTTTATTGAGACTCACTCTATAAAACAAATTATTTCAAAATAAAATCATTTCATTATAAGGAACACACACTCACACACACACATACTAAAAAAAGGTAGATTTAGAAAGACAGTTTCGAAAGACACTTCCCCAGTGCTACAGTCTATGTATTTCGGTTACCTTCTAAACAGTTAGAAGGGTTATTCTCTATCCACCGAGCTTTGTATAGATTTTTACACTTTTGCTACCAATAACACTATGTGGAGATATTAACCATAATAAAAGAAAGACTATCACCAGTTTGAAACAAGGAAAACACTTAGGTTTTTATTCTGTTTTGTGACTCATTCCATCTTTTGCCTGAATTCTATCTTTCTACATCACCTAATATTAGCCTTTCTTTGTCCCTTTCTGTCATATAATACCCATCCTTAATAACTGTTTACATTTAAACATGCATATATTGTATTCTAGAATATGCATATGAATGAGAATATATATTTTGTTTTTCTAAGTTTGGGTGACCTCACTTAATATGACCTTGTGCTGTATAACTTGACATAAACTAATGTCATCAGACAGAAAGGAGTCTTACTTAAGAAACTGCCTCTATAAAATTGGGTTCTGAGAAAATATGTAGGACAATTAGTAATTGTTGGGGGAGGGTCCAGTCCCTTGTGGGTGGTCCTATCCTTGGGCTAGTGCTCCTGGGGTCTATAAGGAAGCAGGCTGAGCAAACCATGGGAAGCAAGCCAGTAAGCAACACCCCTCTAAGGCTTCAACTATTGCCTCCCAGTCCCTCCTGTATTTGAGTCCTTCAGTGATGGACTACAAATATGGACGTGTAAGCCAAGCAAACCCTTTCCTCCCCAACTTGTTTTTGGTCATGGTATTTCATCACAGGAATAGAATCCCTCTCTAGGATGGTTGTGGAGTGTATTTCTCTTGAATTAAGCCTCATTCAAGTTCTCAATACAGAGGGAAATCCATTTATTTTCCCAAAATACATCCCTAATGTTCCTGTTTCTATATGAAATAGCATGTGCCAGGCACTTACTCCCTGTAGATCTCTTTGCATGTGGCCTTCCAGCACACAAAGCACTACCCATTTAGCTCAGATTGTAGAACTGCAGGTTTCTTCTAGACCAAATTTTAAAATTCTTCCATGTTGTTCACAGGAACCAGTTCTTAATGGCCAAGAACAAGACAGTCAATTTTATCATAGTTAATATACTCAAACTTGTTATCAGTTTCATGGTTTCCTGTTTTTCAGATAAATGGGCTATTGTCACTTGTGGTTTGGAAGGCATAGTAGAAAGAGCTGATCACATCACATCTGTAGTGTAATCAGGTACTAGAGAGTGATGAATGTTGGTACTGAGTTGATTTTACATGAAATCTAGGATGTTAAATATTATGGTCTGTTTTTAGGGTGGTATAAGGTCACTGAGGAGAAAAAACTCCGTAAGAAAGAATAAATGATTCCTTGACAGCATGGACTTTATTCAGGATAATACCTGACTGGCCCTGGTGCTTACAGTTGATACCACCCTCTGGAGGTGTTTGTCTGAATACAGCCTGTTACAGAGCAGAAAATGAGGAGGAAAGGGGGGCCTTAATACCATCTCTGATTTAGCTAAATTTGGCTGTTGCTAGGGGTAGTTAGGGAAATAAGCTGTGTAATGGGTTATAAAATGTCAGGTAACCAATCAACATCTTTCAAGGCTAAATATTTCTAGCAGTCAATAGGTCCTAGAAAACAAGAATCTGGAAGAAAAAATCTGTTTGTTTAACTAAAATGGAAGAGTTTTGAAAAATACTGTGACCATGGGTAATAAGAATGTCTTTTAAGCTCAGTTAATCCAATCTACAAAATCCTTCTATCAAAATATTTTTCTTCAATGTTACTGTAATCCTCTCAAGGTGACTATTGACATAAATCACCACAGCAGGGCTGAGAAAAAGATCACTAAATCTTTATATGTGTATTTATGCATATATTTTATGAAATAATTAGAAAGTTAAATAAACAATTCGACCTACAATGTTGTCAAAAATTTTAGCATCAATCATGATCAATATAAAAGATTCTAACTGAAAATTTCAAAACACCCCTGAGTAATTTTATAGAAATATCACCTCATGATGAATAGGAAATGTCAATACTGTTGTCTTATCCATTTGTCCTTTAATTAATATTCCAATTCCAGCAAGCTTCAATTAAAGCACTCACATAATTATTTTAAATGTTGACAAGCTTATTCCAATGTAACTTTAAAAATATTTTCTCTACAATCAGTAGAAAATAATTTCATAGAGGAAACAAACCTAGATAAAACTCCACAAGCAATCAAGGATTTTTGACAGCAGGAGAAATAGTCTTCTGTTGGGAAGAAGACATCATCTATTATTATGATATGGTTATACAGAAAACACAAATGTACAAGTAACATTGTACAGACTGATCAAATTGTTTTGATGCATTTGGAATAAGTGTGTGTGTGTGTGTGTGTGTGTGTGTGTGTGTGTGTGTGTATAAAAAAAATTACAAAAGAAAATGCCATAAATTGAAAAGGACAAGGCAGGGATGGTGGTACTTGGATGGTTTGAAGGAAGAAATTAAGAGGGAATGGTTTAATATTATAATCTCATTAATGATATATAATCTTTACTATATTCTAAAAGTAGGATGAAATAAAAAAAAATCTTTGGAATACTGGAATACTCAGAGTGGGAAAAAAAGAAAAGTGAAACCCTCTTTCTTCACAGCATAAATATGGATGAAACCAAAATGGATTATGATTCTAAATGTGAAAACAAAATTAAAATTGGAGTCGTTATAAGTTTTAATTGTCAGCTATATTTACCTTGAAAGAGAGTGATTGAGGACATTGGATTGGACTGTAGGTATGTACATGGGGAGCTGTCTTAATTAAGTTTATTTATATGATGACATTATCCAGCTCCCTATGGGCAGTACCACTAACTAAGGTAATAAACTGTAAGAAAGTAAAAAAAGTAAAAAATAAAAACAGAATTGGAAACCAGCTAGAAAACAAGTTAGTCCATGCACATGCATCAATTTTTCTCTGTTCTTGAGTGTGGATATGGCTAGCTGCTGAAATAAATCCCCTTCTCCATGGATTTCTTTCATGGAAGACGTTGCAATACTGCAGAAGAAATGAAAGTAGGGCAGCATTTATGTAAGGAAAAGAGATTAATCCATGTGAGCTTGAGTTGCACAGGTTCCTTAAGAATAGGCTTTGGAGTTAGATCCTATAATGTCTATGTTCATGAATGACTTAGGCAATGAAGAAAAAAAATATATATGAAAAGAAAACCCAAGTCACACCCTGAGAGCCTTCTCAATGAGAAGGTCTGATAATGAGCTTAATTTCAGAATTTAGAAAGACTGTCAACACTTCAACATATGATATAATGTGGTTATAAGAAAAGGGTAGGCCAGGTGTTGGTTGCTCATGCCCTTAATCCCAGCACTTGGGAGGCAGAGGCAGGAGGATCTCTGTGAATTTGAAACCAAACTGATCTATAAGAGCTAATTCCAGGACAGGCTCCAAAGCCACAGAAAAACTCTGCCTCAGAAGAAAAAAACAAAAAGAAAAAGAAAAGAAAGAAATAGAAGGGTAGATGTGCACCAAAAATTTATCAAAAGAAATCATGACAAACACAATTAAAAAGATCAAACACCAGTCACCAGTCAGTGGCATCATGAGTCTGGAGGACAGCTCTCTCTCTCTCTCCCTCCCTCTCTCCTCTCCCTCCCTCTCTCCTCTCCCTCCCTCTCTCCTCTCCCTCCCTCCCTCCCTCTCTCTCTCTCTCTCTCTCTCTCTCCTCTCTCTCATTCCCCCCCCCATATACTGGCTCTCCATAATGGCCCACTTGGCTCACTATAATGGTGCCCAACTGCCCGGCAACACAAGCACATGTGGACTAGATGCTGACCTCTACCTGCCCTGTGAAAGAGTCCTATGGTGGAGCTGTAGCTGATTTGTTGAATACACTTGGCTGTCACTTCTATGGGAAATGCCACATGCAGCCTTTAGGTCTTCTTTGGAAACACTGAAAATCTAAAAGAAAATATGAAACATGAAGTGAAGAATGGGAAAAAAATTAAAGACCAACATAACAAAGCAAGCCATAACAAAAAAAAAAACAAAATGCAGAGGATGCACATATGACTATTTATCCAGAAGACTGTAAAGGTAACTCTTTCTGCCAGGCACATGAGTTACACCACCACATTAGAGCCCCCAAATAACTCACAGAAATTAATATTAATTACAATGCTGTTGGCCAATGACTATAATTTCTTATTTGCTAGCTCAGTCTTAATTATCAACCATAACTACTAATCTGTATATTTTTGTAAGGACTTATTGTACCGAGTACACCGGTCTTATGCATCCTCTCTTCCTGGGATCACATAGTGACTCCTCTCTTTCTTACATATCCCAGAATCCTCCTTCTCTCCTAGTCCTGCCTATCTTGCTTCCCTATTGGCCAACAGTGCTTTATTTATCAACCAATAAGACAAATCTATACACAGAAGGACTTCCCCCATCAAGACTGTGCTAAAAAAACCTGCCTAATCTTATGGGATTTCTCTTTAGTATCCCTCTATTTTACCATTACAAACATACATGAATATGCAATTTTCTTGTACAAGGAATTAGACATATATTCCCAGTTAATACAGTTAAATTTATCAATTAGTGGGCAAAGCAAGAACTTGGATAAATTAAGAGGAATTGGTCGTTTTGAGTAGCTAAAGGATTTGGAAGCCGAATACTAAAGAGATGCAGCCAAAGTTCCAAGAGAACATAAAAGAAACATAAAAAAAAGAAACAGAAAACAGAATCACAAGAATTACCAGGCCCCCTGAACAGCCTTCATCCAGTAGTTGATAGAAGCAGAAGCAGGCACCCATAGCTGAACACTGAGCCATACTCCTGGAATCCAATTTTAGAGAGGGAGGAGGGTTCTGTAGGAGAAACCTACAGAACCAGCTGACCTGACCTTGTAAAAGCACAGGGACCCCAGTCTAAAGCTGGGGAACCAGCATTGGACTGAACCAAACCCTCTGAATGTGGGTACCAGTTAGGAGGCCTGGGCAGGCTATGAGACCTCTAATAGTGGAACCAGTATGTATTTATCCCTATTGCACAAATGGACTTTGGGAGTGCATTCCCTATGGAGGGATACTAATTCAGCCCAGATACACGGAGGAGGGCCTAGGCCCTTCCCCAAATGATGTGACAGACTTTGATGATCCCCCATGTAAGGCTTCGCCATCCTTAGGGAGCGGCTGGGGTGGGTTGGGGGTTGGTAAGGGACATGGGAGGAAGAGAGGGAGAGGGAATGTAGGGGATTGATATGTAAACTGATTGCCTCTAAGTAAAAAAAAGGAAATAAAAGAAACTAACAGGAAAGCCTCTTCACCAAATTATGGAGCAGTAGAGTATGTAGGCGTCTTAGTCTTCACCCTTTTCCCCCTATTGTCCCCTCATGACTGACCAGAGAGCTGAAGCACACAGTGCATTAGAAGAAATACCATGCACTCTTTGGAAAGAGTATAGGTGCCAAATGTAACATCTGTGTGTTTTATGTGAGGCACATTTTCTAATTGTGTTTAGAATTCCTGGTCTATGGTTTGAAAGGTTGAACGCTTACATAGTTCAATTGTAAGCCATAACCCCACATCCTTTAAGACTGTAGTTAGTTAAGCTATGATCTGTCCTTCTCTGTGTAAATTGCATTCTGAGCGCATTATGGAATGTCCACAGCTTAGAACAAAACCTGTATCCACTTGCTAATCCAAGGCAGAGACTCACAACAGTAACTTGAATACACTCACTTAAGCTCAAACCTTAGTAGTAATCAGCTACCATCAACTACAATGCAGAGTTGTGTGAACTTCAAATTCAGAAGTGTTTTAATTTTTTATTGTATTTTCTGCAAGAGCCCATCTTCACTAATAAATGCCAGATATTGCTCTGATTGTGAGGCTGACAGTACTCAAAACATTGTTAATGTCTGTATTTCTTAGCATTCCACCTACTAGTTTTGACATTCTGTACTGTGAGTAGACAACTCCGAGAGACAGCATTAAAAACATAGTTTTTAGGACTAACATTGACAATGCAGAGAATAACTAAATGTAAAACATATGTTCAAAATGGAAATCTCCAGAATAAAAACCATCAGGATATTCGCATGTTCAAAGATACACTGAAGCCTGGGGGGGAAGTGGAAATATTTGTTGGACAAAGTCAAGTTACTGAAAAATAAGGGTAACACAGTAATGTTTTAGAATACAATTTTAGCTTTTAGATTTGCATGTAATACTTTTATTACTACAGTGGTGAGGATGACAGTGGAGAAAAACCAATTTCTCTCAAATGTGAAAACAAAGGAGAGTTTTGAGGCTTACAACAAATATGTAAATCCAAATACACATTTCTAGTTGTTTCTTCAGCTCTGAAAGAGTTGGGTTTCCCCATCTGAACTCTTATTTTTATGGACATTGGTAAGAGAATATCAATGAGAAAGAGATGACTTAGCACTGCTATCAATTATTCTCATGATTTATAATGTCTAGGGAAGTCTTAATATTTTTGTTTAGTTATAGTAAAAGCTGACATCTTTAACAACATAATGATTTCCCTGAGAGAGTATGAGGGAAGTCAATGTTATAAATCATAATCATCATGGTGAAAATATAGACATCTAGAATAATAAAGTAAGGCTATGGGGAAAATCATGGGGATGATGAGTACTATTTTGTTAAACTGAGGATAATTTTCTACCAAGGCAAAAATCACTATTCACACATGACTGCAAAAAGAATATAATGACTCTCTAAGAATATATATACATATATATTCTAGAAAGTCTAAGAATATATATATATATAATATGTATATATATAATCTAGAAATAATTAAAAAGAATATATACACACAGGTTCATGCTGTCACAAATGTGCCAGTGGCTTTTGTAATATAATGGAGTCTCTGTTGAGTTATCTGGATTTCAGTAAATGGTTGCATACATAAGAATGGGGTGGGGGGTTTGGCGGGAGGGAAGGGAGAGGGAGAGGGAGAGGGAGAGGGAGAGGGAGAGGGAGAGGGAGAAGAGATTGACATGTGAAGCAACCTTGTTCCTAATTTGAAGTAATAAAAAATAAACAAATAAAGAGTGAAGTAACAAAAGAAATCATAAGATATGTACCTACTATATATCTCCTAGCTTCTGTTTTAGTCATAGACACTAAAGCTATAATGAAACTTAGAACTTCATCACCCATTATGTATTTATCACAGCATATAAATAGTTTTCCATAAAGAAAAAAACAAACAATAATATTCTGTGTTGAAATATGAAGGGTATATTTGAATAAACAGGGAAAAGAATTTCGGGACTGAACAGAGAGCTCAGCTGGGTGAGTAATTGTTGTGTAACTTAAGGACCCGAGTGCAGATTCTGGGCAGGCTCAGAAAAACATTACTGTAATGTATGTCTGCAAAGTCAACACCATGTGGCTGTTATACAGAGGCATAATTCAGCAGCTTGCTGGTCAGCCAGTCTCGTCAAAACAGTGAGCTTTTTTTCCATGTTCTCTGAGAGACCCTGTGGCAGAAAATAAGGTAGAAAGCAATCAAGAAAATTACTCCACAGAAACCTCTGACCATGGTGTATGTATACATGAGCAATTGAGAAAAAACATGTGTGTACACACACACACACAGGCATAAACATACATTTTTAAAAGTTTTAAAAATTATAAGAACTTCAAAAATAGAATAAAGTATTTCTTTGCCCTGTGATTTCAAAGAGATTCGGGACACAAATCATCCTATTTGCATGTAGATATGGTGCCTTTAAAATTCCATCATACTGCTCTTTTTAGTCCTTAGATCCAAAAGTCTACCAGCAAATACAGGGTTAAAAGCAAATATCAGAGTCTTATGGGCACTATGGTTTTAGGCATTTTAACATCCCAGACCAAGGGATTGTAGTAGGATAAGTGAGTGGACAGTAATAGAAATAAGGACAATTCTTTAAAAAACTCCAAAGGAACCAGAATGAGCTCTAGAGTGGAAGTAGTTTAAAAACTCAATAGCCACATAACCAGACAGTTTGGGTCTTTAAAATGCCATTTGAAATGACCTGGTTTTCTTCAAGATTTGCATATTCTGGGGATTTTTTTTTCTAGATGCTATGCTACTTTGTGGACTTGGAGGTGGGAAGGGGTTCTTCTATGTTAAGTGGCTTCTTTCTTGTGCTAATTTCAAGTCCTGTTACTCTCATTTTGGCTCACTCATTTATGCTAAGAGCTCTATCTCTAGAAATCTTTGCAAGAGCTAAAAGATGGTGGATTAGTTAGGGTTTTTATTGCTATGAAGAGACACCAAGACCATGATAATTCTTACAAAGGAAACATTTAATTGGGGTGGCTCACTTACAGTTTTAAAGGTTCAGTCCATTGTCATCATGATGTGGAACATGGTAGCATACAGGGAGATGTGGAAAGTCTTGTGTCTTGCAGGAAACAGGAAGTTAACTCAGACACTGTGTGACATCCTGAGCATAGGAAGCCTCAAAGACCATCCCCACAATGATATGCTTCCTCCAAAAATCCATACCTATTCCAACAAAGCCTTACCTCCTAAAAGTGCCACTCCCTATGAGATTATGGGGGACACTTACATTCAAACTACCACAGATAGTAATATGTCTCCTCTAAGAATCTCTATGCTGCTGGTTTATGCAGTCCCTATTAACGCTCTCTCTATTCTATACAGTGGCATGAGAGGAGAACACACATCTTTTGAATTACAAATTGCTGGAATCTCTGAATCATAAAGAGTTTCACCTGTATCCCTGACTAAAAGTCCTCAGGAAGTAACTCTTTAGAAGAAATTCTTTGCTTCTTGACTATCCACACGCCCAAAGAACATCCTAACGCTTACAATGATTTTTAAAATTCAAAATTTAAATAAAGGTACAATGATTATCTTGAACAATACTCGCACAAAATGGAAAGGTGTCATTATTCTATGACAGGGTTCTAAGTGAAGGGCCTGGATAATAGTAATAATAATAATAATAATAATAATAATAATAATAATAATGAAAAGTTTGGCATCAGTAGATTTTTCATAAACTATGTCTCAGGCAAGCAAGCTTATTAAAACACATCATGTTATATACTATTTCTACAGGAGAAATGGAACTTTGTTAGTGAAGAGCTGCATACAATGGGACAGAGTCAGCAGGAAGATATCAGCAACACAGGGCATCTCAAGAACATTACAAACCAAACATATTACATATAAGGTTAATTGGAACTGATAAATCCAATCTGTTTAGGGGATAAAAACCAAGTTCCCAGGAACCAAAACCTTAGCCTTTTTAGTGTACTGGTCATAAGTCCCACTGCACATTGCCAAGTCTATCTCTGGACAAGGACATAGAATTAGGTTTCTTTTGTCCTTTCATGGAATGGATCTCAATAGAAGACAAACAAGTCAATGACCAAGATTGCCCTCAGAGAGCCATCTTACATAGTTTACTATTGGAGAAGAGATGACACACGAGCAGTGCAAAAATAATGTTGGTTATATCCTGAGAATTTGATAAAATGGTTTTAAGAAACCAGTTGCAGCTGGGCAGTGGTGGTGCATGCCTTTAATCCCAGCACTCGGGAGTCAGAGGCAGGTGGATCTCTGTGAGTTCCAGACTAGCATGGTCTAAGAGAGCTAGTTCCAGGACAGCCTCCAAAGCCACAGAGAAACCCTGTCTTGAAAAAAAAAAAAAAAAAAAAAAAGGAAAAGAAGAAACCAGTTGCAGTGTATATTAAAATGAAAATAGGATGAGGTTTTAGTAATTGGATAAACATTATACCAACAATATAAGAATAATGAAGAAAATTAAAACAATGTGACAATTTGTTTGCGCGGAAAGTTTCCCAATGTATTTGAGAAGTTCAGAACTACTTTTTTGTTTTCTTGACAAGATGACATAACTGGGCTTGTATTTAATATTATTGTGAGGCTGTGGAGACTCAAAAGGTAAAAGTTTCATTCTGGGAAGTATTTCCTGCATTCTTTTAGAGCAGGTGAGATTGGCCTTCATCCACCTGAGCAGGTGTCAGTAGCTTCAGAAGATATTAATATACCTGAAAAAGTTCACATTCAAGCATTGCTTTAGCTTTGTAAGTAGTATTTAATGTTTGTAAGTGGCATTTTCTGTTATAGAGTTGTTCTGTTTCTGTTTCTGTTCTGCCTAGTTCCACCTAGTCCTGCTCCCTTCAGTCCCAAATAAACACACAAAAACTTACATAATTTGTAAACTGTTTGGCTGATGGCTCAGTATTCTTACTGGCTAGCTCTCTCCTAATTATTAACCCATTGGTATTAAAATATTCATCTCCATGTAGTCTTGGCTTACCGGAGAGTACCCAAACCTGTTACTCCTTTGGTGGTTACATGGCATCTCCGTGGTAGCTCACTCTCTTCATCCTATACCCAGCATTCTCTTTGTCTTGTAGTGCTGCCTATAATGCTTGCCTGGCTACTGGCCAATCAGTCTTTCATTCATCAACCAGTATGAAAAACATATATACAGGACATTCCCCATCATAGAGTAGCTGAAGAATTACAGGTATGTATCCCCAATTTAGGTAAGGACTCTCAGGGACATGCCTTGTCATAAGACCATATATAGGATAATTTCTAAGGCCAAGACTGATAACATTAACTCTTTTGGCTTTGGGGCATTTCCATGAACATTGCCTATTATACTAGTTCATTTAGTAAGGTATCCTAGGATATCAATGATATCAAAGACCTGGTGTAAAATATTAGAAATAAAACATTTTATAATGCATATCAGCAGTTGTCTGTAATATATTAAGTGTCATCAGCAACTTCTTGAGTGGACCTTTATGAAGGAAGCTTAGGCAGTCATTATTAATCCAATGGTTTGTCGTCTGTTTAGCAACAAGGGCATTTGGCCTACTCTACTTTCTATTCTTTGCAAAGGGAAAGGAAATACCGTATTTCCTTCCCAGGGCAATTCATCTCCACTTTCTTGGTTTCTCTGAACGGTGGTAAGCAATGACACTTTAAAATCCTGGTTTTCAGTTAAAGGTTTCAGGTTGTTGGCATGGTGTTCTAAATTGTATTAGTTCTCATGCCTAAAATCAACACTCATTGGACTTTTGGACTGTCCCTCTTTAACTCCGTGTTCATTCCTTTGTCTTTCAAAGCTTGGGTCTGGAACCCTGGCTGGAACAGTGAGGGGATGAAGAAAAGAACAGACACCCAGAGAGAAAATAGAGTCAGATGGGTTGTGTGAATGATGTTGGAATGGTATGAACTACTGCAACAGCCAGAACCTCAGCATCTTCATTAGATGCAGCTCAGGTGGCAAGAGTTAGCTAATCTTGCTAAGAGTTATCTGTGAGGTGTGGTAGTCTGTAAACATCTGGGAGGAGGGAGCTGTGGCTGTGGTTTGGCACACACTGACAATATTCACAGTCAGATATGAAGTAGGCTTGATAATTCTGAGCCAGACACACATGTGTGGGCCTTGCCAAATCCTTATTGGTCTGAGACATTGGTCATTGACATGGTTACTCCTACGTCAACAACTCACATTTATGCAGTACTTCATCCAATCATTCCATGTTCACTTGGCTTCTTTAGCTGACCAAGCTCAACACCTAAAATCAAACTTAAAATTAACTTGTATGTAAGCCCACATTGCTTTATTTGTCCTGAAAACACATGATTCTAGTTAAATATATATATTTATATTATATTATATTAAATATATTATATTATATTACATTATTATATATTATATTATTATATATTTTATTATATAATTTAATATATTATATAATATATTTTATTATATTATTATATATAAAACATTATTATTATATTATTATATATTATATTATATAATAATATATATTATATTAATATATTATTAAAATATATTATTATACATAAAATATATTATAATATATTTAATATATTATATTATATATTGTATAATATATATATATATATATATATATATATAATCTTTAAGGTTAATCTCTAATAATTTCTTTCCAAATTATTCAGACCTCTTTTACATTTATACTTTTTGGTATTGTCCTCACTTCATTCTCTTTCAATGAGCATTTAGTTTAGAAAACTACAAACTAAGCATCTGTGTTCTTCTAAAATCATTTCTATTTTCTCTTTAAGTTTCTTTATCAAAAGCATGTTTCAAATTTATAATTTTGGGAACTTCTATATTTAACTGTTGGCTTCCTTATGAATCATTCTTTTAAACAGAATAACTCTATTCCGAATAAAGCACAAGTGTCTCTGTCTAAACACATGAAGAATATAATAGTCCTCAAAACATTTCAATATTTTTTCCAACCAGCAAATGCAAGCTAGATGGATTGTCAGAAATCCAAGGCACTTCAAAACAGTTTTTGTCAAAAAGTACCTATTCTTTATTTTTATCTATAAGGCAATCAAAACCAGGTTAAGATTTTTTAACTTTATGTTTCTTCCACTCTTTAGAGTTACCTGCTGCCTGTGTATAAAGCACTGCTAAATCATAGATATTAAGTTGCAACCCATTCTCTGGGCTCTAGAAACATCAGAGCCTATCAGGAACCCCTCCCAAAATAGGTGGTTCTCTGTGATTGTTATATTGTATACTGGAACAGGTCCTGTCATATCCTTGGAATCAGTCAATTCTCTTATACAGTTAAGACTCTGGACAAACTCACAGAAGCAGAATGAAGAAAATAATCAAGGTGTCCACAATTTGGCCTTTTTGAGACAGTTTCCAAAGTGTTAAAAGTCTGATGCACAGATAGCCAAAAATAAACTCAATTATTTTAATAAAGTACAAACATTTGTTTTTAAGTCAAGTTTTTTGAGTAAATACTTTCATAAGAAAACATTTGGGAGAAAGCCATGTTATATCCTTGTGCATCAGTAATTGACACTGGGAAATTCCTGAGATAGATATATATTTTGAAATATTTTATAATGAAAATTATTATCAGTGACCACTCACAAACATCATTTAGAACAATAGTGTATCTCATAAGTGTTGGCTTTTTTTAACAAGAACTATAAACTGATCATTAATATATTTGCATGAGATGTAATTTTTTAAAACCATAACAACTCCAAAGCCACAGAGAAACCTTGCCTCTAAAAACCAAAACCAAAAAAAAAAATTACAAAATAACAAAATTAATGGGAAACAAGGTATTACATTATAGTCTTTTTAAGGTAGCTTTATTTGCATGTATATTTTGCATACATATTTTGAGAATTTCTAATTTTGTTGAGCATATACTAACAGTGAATAAGATATAAAACCTTGGTTATGATTGTTATGGTTAATTTTTTACAAGGTTTATAAATTTATTTTTACAGTTCATACAAATAGTGAAATGCATTTACGAATATAGTCGTTAAAACCATATGTAAATGCTATAGAAAAATGATCAAAACTTCTAATAGCATCTGATTATGCTGCATGTCATAGGCTTGTATAGCATAATATTACATATATCACTTGGACACTTTTTGTTACAAACTTGTTGAGTGTTGTTTACTGAATAGAGTTAAAATTGAAGATTGACTTTTCTGAATGATTCCAGACTTATCTTGATAACTGTGATGGTTTAATTTGATGTTAGTTTCACTGAATTAAGAATCAACTATGATGCATGCATCTGTGTATCCCTGGTAGAGAGTTTCTTAAGTAGGTTAATTAAGGTAGGAATATTCACCAAAATATGGGTGACAACTTTATTCTGCTTTCACCCTATAGATAAGGAAGTCTGAGGAAATGACTTTTGATTTTTGGATTGATTGTCGTAACGTTAAGCTAGCAAGTTCATCTGCTCTGCTGCTGGATTGTTTACTGGTATCAGAGTCAAGCTCATCTGATTTCCCATCTGGACTAAAAATCGGTGACTCTCCAGGAAATCATCTATTCTTTCATCAGCAGGCAGGGGCTACTGAAGGGTCTAGTGGCATACATTGATCAGCTTTTAGGTTTTCTGCCTATCCAGTAAGAAGATAACTATTGTTGAACTACCTAAACAGTATCTTTAGCTCATGTAATAAATCCCCATGTAATATGTATTAATTCTATTGGTCTGTTCCTCTAGGGAACCTTTTCCAATAGGTTAACTATAAAAAAATATATTAGATGGAGTAAACTGTGACTTTCATCTTTAAACCAACTATAAAATCATCCCCCTGTAACCTTATGTATATGCTTTATAGGGACAAAAATCCAGAAATCTTGAAAAATTATTTCTATATATAGATCTACTCTAAAATTATGGTTTTAGGCTCATAGTTTAGGTTTGATGAACACAATGCAATTATAAATTTTGAGAGTATTTAATAGAGCACATTTTAGAAATGTAATTACTTTTTAGAAGGGAGTCATCAATTATTTCCCTTTTGGGGTAGACCATAATATACCACTTTCCTTATTTCATACAAAACTTAACCACTCACATCTTCAATGTTACTGCTTATTGGGATTGCATGTCTATAATTTTGAAAACAAAATTTGATATATTTGACAAACATACATTCATAGATAATAAAAGTATCATATTTACCCCCAGTACATTAACGGTTTTGTTGGAAAACAAATTCATGACAATCAAATAGAAGGATTTTAATATATAATATATATATACATATATATATTATATATTAATGCATACATATACATATATATTGTACAGAAGTATGTTGATTAACAAATTTCTTTAATGATAAGGATATAAACATATGGGCATTTTGGAAAAATAGGCTTTTTTATGATAAGATAGTAAGATAGGATAGCTGTAATTTCTTGTGGAAAACATAAAGATAAAATTAGACTCCCTAAGAATACCATTAGAACCATAAATTATGTAAAAAATGTAAAAAATGAGACTTAGAAATGATAAATGTGTTATATTATCATTTCTAAGGTGAAAATTCACTGCACACCTCTACTCAAATCAATAGAGTACTCTTAAGTTATATGCTTTTAATAACATTTACCAAACTGACTTAAAAACAAAAAATATGTCTAGTTTTTTTATTAGAAATGTTTAGTTTTATTAAAGGTGTTTTAAAAAGACATTTATTAAAGATGTTTATATTGTCTGAGATTTATCCTAATGCTACATAGAAACTAACTTTTACATTGTTCACTCTTTAAAATTTTTATAACTGATTTTCTGGATATTCAATACCTAGAAATGGAGCCTATGTCAATAAGGACAGAGGGACAGAAAGATGGTTGATATTTTTGAACCTTCACTATTAGCTCAACTGGGTTCTGGGAAACTACAAGGAAACTCTTCTCTCCAAACATCTTGCACTCTGGTGAGTCAGCACCTGTCCTCTTGCTCTGAGAGAGTTTGAACTGTATCCAACATGTATTTTGTAATGAGAAGAGTCAGCAAAGTCGGAAATGTCTGAAATGATTCTAAAAATGGTGCATGGTCAGCAAGATTCTAACTCATGCAAAGAGATGTCATATCTGATAAAAGGCTGAAGGAGACATGATTTCCTTGAAAGGTCCAAGCAAACCCTAAAGGCTGATTCCTCAACTGGCCTTGACTGTAGAATAGAAAGGAGGTCACTTTCGCCCATCTTATATCTTAAAATCTTGATAGGAAAGTATCACCCAAGACTAAACTGATCAGTTTGCTCTTTTCCACAATACAACACTTTCACTCTCCAAATATTTTGCTTATGTCCCTATGAAACATTGCTAGGACCAATTTTTTCTCATTAGCTTTCTTCTTGATAAGAAGCAACTGCCCAGAGCTGGAGAGGTAGGCCTGTTGTTAAGAGCACTGACTGCTCCTGCAGAAGACCTGATGTTTAGTCCCAGGCAGCACATGGGAATTTCACAACTGTCTGTAACTTCAGTTCCATGGGATCCAAGTCCCATTTCTCTCCTCCATGGGGACTATATGCAGATTATGCAGAGATATACATACAGGCAAAAAAAAAAACAAAAACAGTACACATAAAGTAAAAATAAGCATATCTTAAAGAAATAAAGGGAGGGAGGAAGGAAGAAATGAAAGAAGGGATAAAGGAAGGGAGGGAAGGAGAAAGAAAGGGAGGGAGAAAAGAAGGAAAGAAAGAAAAGAAAGGGAGGGAGGGAGGGAAGGAGGGAGTAAGAGGAAGGAACTGCTGCCCAGATATAGGTTATTATTATTTCAGCTCAATTTCAACACTTCAGTAACACCTAAAGCCAAGGGAAATACCCACCATTGCTCTAATATGGTGACTAAATGGTGACTACACCTCTTCCCTTTCTTCCTTTTGGAACATACTGTGATTCCAGCCTTTCCATCAGCTGTCAAAGTGCCTAAGAATTCTGCGCTCTGCCCTCTCCAGTTAATACTTGGAGGCCAATGCAAAACAAACAAACAAACAAAAACAAACAAAACAAAACACACACAAAAAAAAAAAAAACCTAGCAGGAGCCCAACAAGGTAGACACAAATAACTGCTTTTCTGAGTCTGCTGGGGGGGGGGGGGGTTGTTCTAACTTCTCTTGTTCTCTGCCTAGGTCTTGTAATGTTTTTTTTGCATAAAATCATCTTTGCTCCTTAAGTCTGGAATTGTTTTTGCTACTGAAAGGCTACAATTTCACATCTCTCTCATCCTTCTACTGCTTTGGTTCTCGCTTCCTCACAAGTCTATCTAGGAACCACTCAGGAATTTTCTTTCTTCACAACACTTGACTGTTTCACAAATGGAACTAGAAAGCACAGTGGGGGTTCCTAAGTACCACTGGAAG